GCCGCCGCCATCAGAGCCGCGGGACCCCCGGTGCAGCCCCGTTAACGGCGAGGGACAGTCACGGTAGAGACGCGGAAGAGCGATCAACCGACTCGACACACGCGAAACAGAAGCGCGCAGACCGTCAATCGCATCCCGCCCTGATGCAGCACACGGACGAACGGAAACATCCAGAGCGCGTGGAACCGTTACGAACCGGGATGACGTGCTCGGCACGGAGAATCTGCACCGATGCTGCGGAGAGCGAGCGTCCCTCACGCGTTGCACGCGCCGGATCTCATGACACACGCATGTAGATGTAGTAAACACCGGGGAAACGGCACCGATCTCCGTGCAGCTGTGGTAGCATCAGCGCTGATCATTGATCCGGAGCTCTTCACCTGTCTACGGTTCCGAGCTGACTCATACTGAACCATACAATAGAAGCTGACTCAAATTCACACGGGTTTCCATTGCAAACTACAATACAAATACAGAAATGTAAAAACATAAAACAGAGGAGCAAACTTAAATGCATGATAAGATAAAAATGCAAAATAAAAATGCATATAAAACAGAAACTATACATTTTGCATGTTGTTAGTTTGCATGGTTAATCATTAATTACAGTGTGCTTTTATACAAATTAAGTCATTTGGAAAAATGATTAAATGTAATTAATGTAATGTCAATCCACTTTTGAAAATACATTTGTTAAAGTCATATAAAGCTTACTTATGTTCTTAAGAGTTAAAATGCAAAAATTCGCCGATTTGTTTTGAGCGACTGTCTAAATCTACGCACCAACGCTGACTCGACCAATGGCGTTTGTCGGGGGCGGAGTTATCTGATTGTTCGACCAATGGCCGACGGGGGGCGTGTTCGTAAAGCTGATGGGCGATACCACTTATTTTGTTTTCGATACGATACCGATACTTTCAAAGGACAGTATTGCCGATACCCCTAAACTTAACTTTTAAATGATTAAACTTATTAAATTATTAAGATAAATGATACCCATTTAACATTATATTTGAAAGGCATTTAACATTCAAAACGACTTAATTGCAGCTTATTAGATTATATTTTTATTTACGTGTGATTAAAATGCACCCGTAAAATGCAACCTTTTTATTCTGACAGTGTATGATTTATAATAAACAATATGGAATAAAACCTGATCAATATGAACTTTAACGTTCAATTTAAATAAATGTAATTGCACAAACTATAGGCTACAATTTCAATTTGTTTATTGTGAAATAACTCAAACATGTTTTTCTGTCCTCTGATAAGAAGAAACGCGTACATAATTAATTCTATAAAAGCATTTAACAGACTTTCAGAAATATACTCAGACATTTCACCTTTATTACTTATAATTGACGAATACTAATGTTAATATTACTAAATTAAATATTAATATTATGAAACTGATTTGTGTAATTTGATCAAACACCTAAACTATAACAGAATGTTTATGCTGCTGTTTTATGATGATAAAAGAAAAAAAAACGAATGTGCTACATAGGCTAGTAGGAACAACCCAAGTTCAGTTTCATCTGTATATGAATTTGTGCATTCATTAAACTTATTTAAATGCTCTTTTGTGGTTCACCGACTGTTTCTCGGGTATCACAGAATTCTTTAAGGAAATGAAAGTGAAAACATCGAAGACGATGGAGAGCTTCCTCCAGTTCGTCTGATGGCATCGACAGGGTGTTGAGTGTGTGTGTGTGTGTGTGTACCTGGTATTTATCACGTTATGGTCCCCACAAGGATAGTAATACTAGTAAATTTTGACCTTGTGGGTAAATTTTTGAGGTCCCCATGAGGAAACAAGCTTATAAATCATACAGAATGAGTGTGTGTGTGTGTGAGTAATGCATGTCTGAAAAGGTCACACTACCTGAAGTGGCAGCAGCTCCGTGAATGTGTGTGATCTCCACTGAACCCAACACACACACCCTGATCCTCCAACAACCTCCTGCTGTACAACAACCCCACAGACTGCACACACACACACAGACACACACACACACACACACACACACACACACACATGCGCACATTAACACTGTCTCTGAGTGTTTGCCTTTGGGAAAAATATATCACAATATATCCCATTACAATGTAATTGCGATGATTTACATTCATGCATTTGTTGACTTGTATTGCATTCAAAATATCCATTGTTTTTCATCAGTTCATGCAATCACTGAGAATCGAACCCATGATCTTGGCATTGCAAGTGCCATCCATGATACTGTTTGAGCTACAGGAATTTGTGATATTTAGATGAAACAGAAACATTTGGAGTTGGAGAAGTTCTTTTATAGCATACACAACGGTTGTTATTTAACTAAAACTAAATCCATTAAAAAAACATTACAAATAAAATTACAAAAACATTTTATAACAATAAATGTTAACTGAAATAAAATATTTTTTAAAAACAAACTTATTTTATTTCATCTAGTTACCATGGCAACATTCCTCATTTTCATTTAGTTTAAGTAGATGTACTAAAATATCTAAACCTAAAATAAAAACTAATAGAAATAACTATATAGACATATTTAAAAGTTTTATAGTAAGTTTTTAAATGACATATTTAAAAATAAAAACAACAAATAAAAATACTAAAACTTTAACTAAAATGACAATAGAAAATAATTATTGAAATATAATTTAAGATATTAATACAAACTATAATATTATCTTACACTATATTACAAGCTAAACAGAGTCAGATAAATAAAATTAGTTCTATCAATTAAGTTTGTGTCGTTCCAAACCCATACAAAGAAATTGTTCAATGTTTGATACTTTTATGGTGTTTTTATGTTTTATCCTTTTTGCACATAATTATTTTTCACTGTAAAAGAGCAGCTTGGACATTCTGTCTAACGTCTCCTTTTGTGTTCCTTAGAAGACAGAAATTCATACAAGTTTGTAATGAAATGGGCGTGAATTTGTATATTAAGGCACCTCCTGAACACACACATACACACACATTTAAAAAATACATATTAATTGTACACATTAAATAATGTTTGATCGCCCCTTTGCAGTTGTGTGGGAATACATCATTTATTCCATTCCAATTAATTACATGTATTATTAAAAATAATATTAAATATTCAATAATCATATTTCGAAACAATATTTAAAAATAAATATTATTTAACAACAAAAATTATAAATATATTCATATTATTAAACAGTGCTTCTCCAGGAACTTCAAAAACGGCTCAATAAGATTTTATGTTTTAGAATGTGTTTTATGGAAGATTGTTTCTGCTGTGAAAAACAAGGTAATTGCACCATTTTATATCACAGTTCTGACTTCTTTTTTTTCAGAATTGTGAGAAAAAAGTAAAAATTGTGAGATATAAACTCTGAACTGCAGGAAAAAGTCAGAATTGTGAGATATGAACTGAGATTCACAAGAAAAACACTCTTAATTGTGAGATATAAACCCAGATGTGCAAGAAAAAAACGTCAGAATTGTGATGTAAATTCAGGTTTACAAAAAAAAAAAGTCCAAATTGTAAGATATAAACTGAGATTCACAAGAAAAACAGTCTTAATTGTGAGATATAACTCAGAATTGAGAGGAAAAAAAAAGCACAAATTGTGAAATATAAAGTCAGTATTGCAAGAAAAAAAGTCAGAATTGTGAGATAAAAAGTCGCAATAACCTTTTTTTTTTATCCCGTGGTAGAAATAAGCTTCTATAGTTTTGGCACGTTTGCTCATCAGCAAAATCATTATGAATATATTGTGTATGTATTGTCCCGTGCCTGTTAAGCTCCGCCCTCTCCACGCTCCACCCACTCTGCTCTTGCAGCTGATAGGTCACCGGAACCACACCCATCCCCTCCAGGGGGCGTATCAGAGTGTGAGGGGCGGGGTCTGGTATCATAACCGTAGACACGCCCTCTGATTGACACAGCAGCCGCAGCCTCACCTGTATTCGGTTTGGTAAAGATATACTCCTGATTAACTTGATCATTCATCAAGGCCATCAGCAGCAGATCTTTATTCCACAATAAAAAGGTTTTATGAATTGAAACATGCGCCTAATCACTCACAGCCAAAGTTATAAATGATAAATTAATGATTTTGTATTGTACCATCAAAGCTCTCTGGGTGTCAACAGTGATGAAGACTTGCTCTGGACTGGTCAGGACGTCTCCGTCCCGCAGAGAAATTAACTTTGCTATAGTGTTTCTCAAATACAATCGACCCACAGGACTCAGTGTACGAACCTGGAAAGAGAAGCGACCACGCAGCCAATCAGATCGTGAGCCTCAGGGGTCACATGACAGTTTTAACAAAACCAGACATTAAAGTACACATTCAAACTGAGAAATGTAATTTTTTTTACATCAATAAATAAAAAAAGAAAATGTATGTATATATATATATATATATATATCTCACAGCGTAGTTTTACTAAATAAAGTTAATAAAAGAAATTAATAACTATTATTAAGTAATATGCATGCTAATAAGAAACTAGTTAATAGTGCAAATCAGTCCCTAAACTAAAGTGTTACCTAAAATTTCCCTAAAAAAAGCTTCTTTCCAAAAACATTTTTGACAGTATTGTATCTTACAGTAAGAGATTTTTACTGTATCTTTTTGCATTCTTTTTCCGTTTAAATCACGATAACGTGTTTACATGACTATTTAGTGTGTATTAATTCACCTGCTCTTCCTCAGCTGATGGTGGTCTGGTTATTTTCTGCAGATCAGACATGTCTTTAGATGCTGTCTGTCGGCAAACAGCTCGGCGTGTCTCTCCTCTCATGCAATATATGACTGCATTAACTTACTGTGCTCCGTGAGTTCAGTCCCTGTAACTCTCAGGCATAGTTCATATAGCACGTATATATAAGCAGAAGTGATGCACGATGCACCGGTTTCATCTTCCTTTGGTAGTTTCAGTATAAATGGTTAAACATTTGCAAAGCAGTTCAAAGAGGATCACACAATCATGTAAATAAGTCACCAAAAATACCTTTATTAGTCTGTAACAATACACATGCAATGTGCAAAAGTCAGTATACACAATCATATAATATGCACTGAGTGAGTGTGTCTGTTCAGTGTTTGGGAGCATTACAATAGACTTGATGTTGTTCATCTTGCTGTTTTCTCGGGACACTGGATTTTGTAGCCCACTCTATACGCCTGCAGATACACACGCGCCTGATTTATCCTACAACCACAGAAAACACATCCGATTCTTCAAAAATGACAGTAAAGACATTTTAAATTCTAGAAAAGATTTCTATTTGAAATAAATGCTGTTCTTTTGAACTCTCTATTCATCTGCGAATCCTGAAAAATAAAATGTATCACCGTTTCCACACAAATATTAACTGTTTTCAACATTGATAATAATCAGAAATGTTTCTCAAGCAGCAAATCAGCATATTAGAATGATTTCTGAAGATCATGTGACACTGAAGACTGGAGACTGAATACTGGAGTAATGATGCTGAAAATACAGCTTTGATCACAGAAATAAATTACAGTTTAACAGATATTCACTTAAATTGTAATAATATTTCACAATTTTTACTGTATTTTTGATCAGCCTTGGTGAGCAGAAGAGCCTCAAAATTCATAGAAATTAATAGGGCTTGAGATAAATATGGCACCAAAATTAACAAAAATACCAAGAAATTCAAGATACGGGATATCTAAATTTAATTACAAATTAAAAAGAATCTAAATTTGAAGTGAAGCGTGAAAGTGAACGAAAAGTGTCGATTATAGCATTACATTCAGAACTGCTCACATTGCATCAAAGATTTATTTTTACGTTTTGGCAGCATTGAGCATTATTACTGATCACAAAGGTTTAAATGCCAACATAATGTAAAAGTTCATTTCTGCCACTGCCGTGATTTAACATTACTCGTACTGTGACAGATTCTGTTGATTTGTGTGTGTGTGTGTGTGTGTTTGTGTTCGACATGTATTTAGTACAGAGCTGGACTCCCAGCGGTCCGCAGCGGTCCACGTAACTCTCCCGAAAGCCTTTCCGCACGGCGCGGGCCATACTGACCACCGTAGTCACGACGGGACACACGCTGAAACAGAGGAGGATGCTGCTGCTCTTTAATTCACTAACATGAGGAGTGTATGTGTGTGTGTGTGTGTGTGTGTGTGTGTGTGTGTGAGTGTGTGTTCTCTTACAGTTTTGTAATAATATTTCACAATTTTTACTGTATTTTTGATCAGCCTTGGTGAGCAGAAGAGCCTCAAAATTCATAGAAATTAATAGGGCTTGAGATAAATATGGCACCAAAATTAACAAAAATACCAAGAAATTCAAGATACGGGGCTAAAAATTTATCTAAATTTAATTACAAATTAAAAAGGATCTAAATTTGAAGTGAAGCGTGAAAGTGAACGAAAAGTGTCGATTATAGCATTACATTCAGAACTGCTCACATTGCATCAAAGATTTATTTTTACGTTTTGGCAGCATTGAGCATTATTACTGATCACAAAGGTTTAAATGCCAACATAATGTAAAAGTTCATTTCTGCCACTGCCGTGATTTAACATTACTCGTACTGTGACAGATTCTGTTGATTTGTGTGTGTGTGTGTGTGTGTTTGTGTTCGACCTGTATTTAGTACAGAGCTGGACTCCCAGCGGTCCGCAGCGGTCCACGTAACTCTCCCGAAAGCCTTTCCGCACGGCGCGGGCCATACTGACCACCGTAGTCACGACGGGACACACGCTGAAACAGAGGAGGATGCTGCTGCTCTTTAATTCACTAACATGAGGAGTGTGTGTGTGTGTGTGTGTGTGTGTGTGTGTGAGTGTGCGTTCTCTTACAGTTTCTCACAGCGTATGCCGCTCGTCCCCGTCACACACACACAGGTGTTCAGAGGCCCGCAGACGCCACCATGCTGACAGGGAGGAACACACGGCGTAGTGACGGCTACACACACACACACACACACACACACACACACACACACACACACACACAATTACATGAACACAAACTACACAGAATAATGCTCACTGAACATAAACACAACACAGGATGAACAAAAGAATCACTGCAAACTGAACTGAACAAAATCTAAACTGGAGAGAAGAATCACTCTAAACTGAACTGAACAGAATCTGAACTGAACGGAAGAATCATTGCAGACTGAACTGAACAGAAGAATCACTGGAATCTGAACTGAACAGAATCTGAACTGAACAGAAGAATCACTGCAGACTGAACTGAACAGAAGAATCACTGGAATCTGAACTGAACAGAATCTGAACTGAACAGAAGAATCACTGCAGACTGAACTAAAAAATTAAAATTAAAAAATGCTATACAAATACAACTGACCTGAAAAATGTATGAATCAATGTGATGATAATTAATGATGACATCATATATGAATACTCAATGATGTCATACATGACAGAATTAATAAATAATTAATGATATAATGATTGAATAATAATAAAAACAATCATGACGTT